AAGGTTGAATTCAGAATAGCAAGCTTCAGTCATAAATGTTAAAATGACTTGTAATCTTTTTTACAAAAAAAAATAGCATTTAAAAACATAATGTAAAAATGACATTTCACTTTACAAGAACAGTAACTGTTTATGAATTTATTCAATTTTCCTCCACTATTAAATTTTAGCTTCCTCAAATCATATTTTTAATCATTTTTGACAGAAATATAGTGAGGCAATTTTAATGTCCAAACAGACTCATTTCGATAATGACCTAAACATAATCCCCTTAAAATAAATCAATTTAAAGGGCAGATCACTCTTTCAAACAAAATTTTTCTCTCAGAATATAAAAGTTAAAAACACAAAAATCTGTTAATCTTACTAATAATTTTTCAAAGTACTTTCAGATAATAGCAAACACTATATAATAATAGTCATTAATATAATGTTCATATTAACTAAAAATTACTTTCACCATTAATGCAAATGACTGGTATTTACTTCACCCAACAATTATACTTAACTATGAGAGAAAATTGGCAGATATTTTTATGATGTGACTTTAAATTAGCTTAGAAGTGCATATGACACAAATACAAGAAGGTCATGATGGGGGTAGATTGTTCACTTGAATCCATTGCATCAAAATAACAGGAATTGTTACATTCAAGGATAGCCACCAGTTAATAGTTATGGTCCATTGTACCAATAATTAGTTAAGGTCCATTGAGAAATATGATAGGCATTGTAAAATGATATATCCCTATATTCCTCTATTACTTAAATAAGAAAAAAACAAAGAGGGGCCATAATTTCACAAACAATAGCCACCGCCAAGCTGGGGCTATGCTCCACCTTTTTTATTTTCAAGTCAAAACCATTGAAGAAAAAAATATTGTAGTAAAGAGAACTCCAAGACACTATAATCTTTGTACACAATATAATTTAAATTTTCTATTTGACCTTGAAGGTCAAGGTCATATTTGATTCAATCATTTTCTGTTAAAAAAACATAAATGAATAACAAAGTTATGACAATTTAAGCAAATTGCAGTAATTTAACCTTGACAGAAAAGGTCAAATTAAGGTCAAGGTCAAATTTGAATTGTTCAACACACCTGTAATGTGACACAAGTTTTTTGTCCAAGTCATAATCAAATCTGTGAATAAATAACAAAGTTATGAGTTCAATATTTGACCTTGATGATCAAGGTCATTTAAAGGTCAAGGTTATATTTGAATTACTTAATATGGCAGTTTTAATATAATATTCTTTTGTCCAAGTGTAAATCCAATCCATAGAAAAATAACAAAATTTTGGCCAAGTGCAGCAAATTTCACTAATTTGACATTGTCAAGGTCAAAGTAAGGTCAAGGTCAAGTTCATTAAATTTTCTTTAATGTCTTGTCGAAAGAATTGCTGTGCCCAAGTATGAAGACAATCCATTTATAACTTACAAAATTACAACCAATTGTAGCAAAACAATACAATATATTGACTTTCAAGGTCAAAGTCATATATGAGTCAAGATCAAACTGAGTTTAATTTTCTTTGAGACATTGTCCTTACGGTAATACAAATACAAATAATAAAATTGAAGCCAATTTTAGCAAAGCTAGACCTAGCAAATTTCAAACATTTGACCTTAAAAGTCAAGGTCATTTATGAGTCAAGGTCAAGTTCTGTCTAATATTTCTTGAAGGCCTTGTTCGAAGGATTGTTGTGTCCAAGTATGAAGATAATCCATGTAGAAATAAAAATAATAATAACAGTTTTCGGACAGCAACAGGGACAGACAAAATGACTGTAACTTTTCTTTGAAAAATTCGAGCTCAAAATAAATGGTGAAAAAACAAAATACTGCTATGATGCAATCTTATGTTAATCAATGACTCACAATAACTTGTTTGTTGTCATAAGTTGTTTTCATCATATCAGACAGCAACTGTATGAACATCAAATAAATACATATTTGCTAAAATTTACACTGCATGTCTTTTTCTGCCACTGAAATATTATAGTAACATCAAATAAACACATATTTGCTTAAGTTTTAAATGCCAAGACATTTGCAACATTTAAATTGTGTTGGAACATCAAATTAACACAATTATATTTGCCAAACTGTTAAAGCTAAGACTTTTGCAACCTTGAAATATATATGTACATCAAAAAAACACATATTATCCAAAATTTCACTGCAAGTCCTCTAAATTTATATAAATACATATTGGCCAAGATTTTCATGTAAAAACCTTTGCCACCTGAGTAACCTCTAAAATTGTCAATGTACATCAAATAAATATACATGTATATTTGCCAAAGTTTTAATGTCAAGTCTTAAAATTACATAAATCAAATAAACATAAATTTGCCCAAAGTGCTTTTCCAAATCTTGCATTGCATATGTACATCAAACAACCATTAAGTATTCAAATAAAATGCCAAGTCCTAATAACATATGTACATCTTTAAGCAACAGTAGCTTTTAGAAATGTTCAGGCAAAAAAAAAAGTTTTAGTTTATTAAAAAAATCCCTATAATTGTGCTGACCTGCTGGCCCTCATGCAGTCAATTTTCTAATTTACCTTTAAATCAATTTGTAAACTGCAGTGTTAATATCAAGTACAAACTTTTTCAAGGAACTAAATGAAATTTTATTACCATTTTAAGAACACATACAACATATCCAACAAAACTTTATCAAAATATTTTTTTGAAAGCATCCATTTCTTTTTTATACATATTAATTATACATAATTAAATTGATCTTCAATAAAAATTTTAAAAATAATTTTCTCTTTAAAATCAAAATTCCTAGTACATTTTGTGCATTTGTATCATTTTTCCATAAAAAGACATAATTCCTTAATTTTAACTATAAAAGGATATAAATACAAAGATTTTAATCCAAGTCTGTTTCTGAAATGACAAAAACCAAATGCAGATCCAGACACTGTTAACATATTCTAGCAAAACACTGGTCAAGACTGCACACTAGACAAATAAAATTCTGAAATTTGTGGTTTTTGCTTTTTTCTAACTTACTGTCACCAACAGCAATAATGACACATGTGTACTCTGCAAATTTACAACCAGACAGTTAAGTTAATGCTCAAGATCTGAATTGACACAAAAGACAACATTTTAGTATTTTCTATATCTATGTGTCACTTATTGTAATAATATCACAAATGTACAACTTAGGACTTGGTAATTCAGGTATGGAATTAAGGCCTGTTTCAAGACATAATTCCTGCTTTACTAAGGGTACCGGTAATCCAGTTTCTTCATTCATAATATTCTTAACATTGATCAAAAGGACTTCTTAGTTTACCTCTTGGTCTTTGAATTGCAAAATTTGCATTTTTATATATACTCATTATTTGTATGATATGTTTGTAAACATGTATTTAATGCAATAAAATATGTTTAAACTAAACTGATATACAATATTTTACTGGTATGCCATATTTTACTTGTATATAACTAATGATATACCATATTTTACTGGTGCAAGTGATGATATACTATATTTTACTGGTGTATACATGTAACTAATGATATACCATATTTTACTGGTGCAAGTGATGATATACCATATTTTACTGGTGCAAGTGATGATATACCATATTTTACTGGTGCAAGTGATGATATACCATATTTTACTGGTGCAGGTGATGATATACCATATTTTACTGGTGCAAGTGATGATATACCATATTTTACTGGTGCAAGTGATGATATACCATATTTTACTGGTGCAGGTGATGATATACTATATTTTACTGGTGCAAGTGATGATATACTATATTTTACTGGTGCAAGTGATGATATACTATATTTTACTGGTATATACATGTAACTAATGATATACCATATTTTCAGTTATCCTTACCCAGCTTAATATCAAACAAGGACTTGTTCATTTTTCAGCCAGAACAAAACTATTCATCACTTATTGGGGAAATTTTAAAAATATTAATACAGTGCAGACCATGATCACATGGCTGACCATGGTCTGCACTGGTCACAGGGGGTAGAATTTGTTTGCACCAGCATGGTATGGCTTAACATTGACATTTTTCTCATTTTTGTCTTTGTTTACAATACCAACATAATCAAGCATGTTGTCTCTCATTAATTTTCTTCATTTAATATGCATGGCTTATTTTACTATTTCCATCAATGTAATATTTATAGTGTGTAAATGGGACTCAACTTCCTGTTATCGCAAGAAAGGTTGAAGTTAAAATATATAGGCATCCCATGAGAAGTAATCAGAAGACATTCGTGCAAATTTAATTATAATGGCTTATAAGACATGGAACAGTTATTATTGTTATCCATCCTCATTTTTAACCTGTTACATATAATGATGAACATGTGCTCACAGGGGAAACCACTTGCATGGTTGAAGTGTTAGCTGTCATCTTAATAAACCTGCTAAGTGTGAAATATACTTCTAATTCTATATATGTATTATTTTCATAGAATGGTTTATCTGTGTATGGAATACAATTGTTATCTGTATCTTGGTGAAAAGATAGATTAGAAATTCCCTGGAGAGAAATACATTGATTGCAACAAAAGAGAAATATGCCCCCTGGATTCTGTATATTCCAATTCTGCCAGACTGCATGAAATTTCTACATTGTTGGAGACATTTATCACTTTATCCAATTTTTTGATCACCCGATTTCTATACATCTTGTCTCGTTGTTGTAATATAGACCACATGGTAGAATTTTCTACTTTGTTAACCTTATATAGAACCTTTAGTAGTTGTAACAGACTCAAGATGAACCAATTCTCCCATCAGTATGCTTGATCCTGGCTTTATACTGTATAGTACATATCCTCATAACTATGAATACATACATATCCCAAATCTGTTTTTAATTGTCGAAACCTAAGGATCCGAGTTTGTTCATATATGTCCTATGTAGTATTCATAATTTAATCCTGTGACATTTACAATATGTCCTAAATCTAATAATCACAAAATGCTTACCTGACTTCTGAACAAAGTGTATTTGCCTGTAGGAGGCGGGTCATTTCCTGTTGCCATGGTTTACCGACGTGTTTAAGAACGTGTCACATTTATGTTGCCTGAAAAATATAATATCAATGATTAAAATAAAGTTAAAAGGTGATACATTGTTTTTCTGGTTGGTAAGTTAAGTTTTAAATCACTTTTATGATTACATCGTGACTTTCCAGTCTCATTGATTGTGGAAGACCTCAGGTGCCATATCATGCTTTATTTGCTAGTAATAAGCAGGTACATGTACCTAAGTAGAAACTTTAGCCTTCTGTAAGCAAGCTGGATAACTTCCTTGCATTAAAAAAGAATCCAAAATTATATTATATAAAGCAACCAAATTTTACAGTTGTATATTTAAGCAAAGACTTCTTTAATATTTTTTGTTGGGCACAGCAATACTTTTTTTTTCAAAGGTCATATGAGGAAAACCTCAGGTGCCCTTCTAGCATCAGCAGGCATCCTGAGTAAAACCACTTATGTTCCATAATGTATTTATATTTACTGGTTACATTGGCAAGTATTCTTTAAAAAGCTGATATCAAAAGACCTGTACAGTAACATCAAATGATACATAAAATTTTGTAAATATATTCAAATTTTTTGGAATCTTAAACAAAGTTTCAAATGTATTGGATGCCAGACATGTTCCAAGTTACAGAAAAATGCTATTTTATATTTATAAAGCGAGGTCACTTTGGAACAATTTATATTCATACAATGTGCAAGTTAAATTAATATGTAATTTAATGATAAAGTTTGTAGCCTTCACCTTTAATAGAAGTCTTTTATTTCTGTCTGTACTCTTCAATTTGAAAATAACATATCAGCCTTAAAGAGAAATTGGCTTCACAAGAAAATCATTTAAGAAAAGCATTTAAGAAAAGAAATTGTCAATCAATTTTAAGGAATGATTTTTTTTAAACTATTAATTCAATAACTGAAGCCACAAATTGGTTGGTTTTTCCCCAAGTAATATTGATTTCACACAATTTTCCGGACCCAGTGTGTTGTATTCAAATCACAGCCTCTTAACCAAACAGATTGGAGTTTCTAACATTCTATAGAAGGGAAGTAACTCAAGACAACAAAACTTTTAAGCAACAAGTAGTAGCAGTTACTGCCCTTGAGGTTATATAGAATTTCTGTCACGTAATCTGTAATTTAAATTTCAAAAAAATAATGTTCAGAGCAAGAAATCATTCTTTTAAATGGGAAGAAAATTGTTTTTGGAAAATTGTTTAAGTTTTTCTAAATTTAAGATTCATATGTTGCAAGGTATTATGAACTGTATTCTCTCACAAAAATATTCACAACTTTCTAACTTATATCTCATGAACCATTAGATGAGTGGTAATTAAATATTTTCTATCATCACCCACATCACAGATGTTAGGTTGCCTCAACTTAGTATCTGACCTCAATCAGTTTTATTTCACTATTTTTGCAACAAGCCTTTAAGTTTAGGAAAAATATGTGCCTTGTAAAAATTAAAAAAAAAAAAAAAAAAACTTACAAAAACATTCACTTTTTCAGATGATAATACATATATGGATATAGAAATGCTGTTCTTGTTTTTCTTGCTTTTTCAGATAAAGCCATACTTAAATATATATGCCTATATATGCCTATGCTCAGTTGAGCTGATGGGGAGAAATCTTCACCGTTTTTTTTTTTGTCAATTCGGATTTTTTTCAGTTGAGAATAAGCCTAAATATGGCGATTTTTCGTGCAAAACAAACTAATCTTCAAAACACAATGATTGTATACCATATATTTTATTTACTTAACTGATATTTTCAAGTCAGTTCATTTAAGGAACCAAACCATCAATAAAATTATAATGTATAAGATAATTTACATAAAACAAATTGTACCATTAAAGAAAATTTGTCCTAAACTGGTTTTATGTTTTTGACAAATTTATAAATTTAAATTATGGAAAATTCTAAAATTCTATCATAATTTGCATGTAAATTTCAGTAATAATAACTGTAGGTAAATTTCAGTAATAATAACAGTGAGTAAATTCTACATAGAATGACTAGGTAAATTCTAGATATAATATCTGGGTAAATTTCAATAATAAGAGTGGCTAAATTTCAGCAATTATTAGTGATAGTGAGTAAATTTCAGTAATAATAACATTTGGTAAATTTCAGTAATAATAACATTTGGTAAATTTCAGTAATAATAACAGTGAGTAAATTCTACATAGAATGACTAGGTAAATTCTAGATATAATATCTGGGTAAATTTCAATAAAAAGAGTGGCTAAATTTCAGCAATTATTAGTGATAGTGAGTAAATTTCAGTAATAATAACATTTGGTAAATTTCAGTAACAATAACATTTGGTAAATTTCAGTATTAATAACATTTGGTAAATTTCAGTATTACTAACTTTGGGAAAATGTCAGTAATATGATAAATGTGGGTAAATTTCAGTAATTATAACATTTGGTAAATTTCAGTAATTATAACATTTGGTAAATTTCAGTAATAATAACATTTGGTAAATTTCAGTAATTATAACATTTAGTAAATTTCAGTATTACTAACTTTGGGAAAATGTCAGTAATATGATAAATGTGGGTAAATTTCAGTAATTATAACATTTAGTAAATTTCAGTAATAATAACATTTGGTAAATTTCAGTAATAATAACATTTGGTAAATTTCAGTAATAATAACATTTGGTAAATTTCAGTAATAATAACATTTGGTAAATTTCAGTAATAATAACATTTGGTAAATTTCAGTAATAATAACATTTAGTAAATTTCAGTAATAATAACATTTAGTAAATTTCAGTAATAATAACATTTGGTAAATTTCAGTAATAATAACATTTAGTAAATTTCAGTAATTATAACATTTGGTAAATTTCAGTAATAATAACATTTGGTAAATTTCAGTAATAATAACATTTAGTAAATTTCAGTAATAATAACATTTAGTAAATTTCAGTAATTATAACATTTGGTAAATTTCAGTAATAATAACATTTGATCAATTTCAGTAATAATAATATTTAGTAAATTTCAGTAATAATAACATTTGGTAAATTTCAGTAATTATAACATTTGGTAAATGTCATTAATAATAACTGTAGGTTAATTTCAGCAGTAATAATAACTGGGTATATTTCATTAATAATAATAGCTAGTAAATTTCAGTAATTATAACAGTGGGTAATTATTCACTCATTTATGCTAACTGTAGTCAATATCCTCAGAATGCAGGAAGAACTGACCAAAAAAAGTCCTCTAACCATCTCCCAAACCTATTTCCTGTCAAACTAGGGCAAAAATATGCGAATAAATGAATTTATATAGATTGGAACATTATAAAATGTTATGATGTCAGTGATTGCATCAATATTTTCTGTTTCTATTTTTCACAATACAAATTAACCTGTATTATGTGAGAGGACAACCATTTACAATATTACTCTATAATTCCCTCAGGACAATTTTAACAGACAGATTCAATTGTACAGTAATGATAGCTTGGAAACAAAACTGATAAGGACATGGTATCTTTGGAATGACAAAATTTTGCATTGATCTGATTTTTTTCTCGCATTTCTCATAAATCAGACATTCAGTTGCCTAAGTGCAGCAGAACAATATTGAAAATGAATATGAATAGAGAGGCAGATATGATAATCTGTTACGCTAGAGTCCTGATGAATGCAAAACAGGAAACTTGTAAATAAATCATCAGTAAAATATTCAAGATTTTACAGAAAACAATATCTTATTTACTTACTTACTTTCCTTAACACTATTACTTTTTTCTAGGTCAGGTCACAGAAAAAAATACAAACAAACAGATTAGATCATCTAATTTCCATTACCTTGTAGTTTTGTTCCTGAATCTCTCATACAGGATACAGATTTTATTCCACACCAAAATCAATAGAAGTGTCAATTCCTTTTAAATTTCACAAGAAGCTTTCGCACTTAATGAAAATTATCTAAGAAAACATCCCATCAATCTAAATTTGCGATGGAGATCTGATAATGCACTCCTGTGGTAGTTTCTCAGACACAGTGAGTTCCACATTAATCAAATGCTTTATTCACAAAATGTCTCTCTGTCTTCCTCTATTATTCTGTTACATGTCATCATTTTTTATGACATTGACACACTTCTGTTAGATGTCACATCTTATCTTAAAATCTAATGGAAACTGACCACTGCAGTAAGATGTTCAATTTTTCTTTTCGATACTGTTCTTAATGAAACACTTAAACTGCAATTAAAGTTATAAAACTGTTACACTGCAACTGAATGTCATCTGTTCTTTATGAAATTGTTACACTGCAGTGAAATACCATCATTCTGTTTAAAACTGTAAAATGTAGTAAGATGTCATCTGTTTTTTTTGAAACTTTTACACTACAATAAGAATCCATGCATTTTTTATGAAATGTTACACTACAGTGAGATGTCAACTGTTCTTTTTGAAACTGTTATACTGTAGTAAGGTCCTATCTATTCTTTATGAAACTGTGAAACTAAAATAAGATGTCATTTATTTTCTCCTTTATGAAATGTTATACTGTAGTTATATGCCATCAGTTCTTAACAAAACAGCTTCACTGCAGGATAATGTATTTTTTTCTTTATGGACGTGTTATAGTATAACAAGATGCTAACTGAACTTAATAAAAGCTTTGTCATCTATTCTTTATGAAACTGTTACACTGCAGTAAAGTTTTTATAATTTAAATATTCCTTGACAAAACTTTCTTCTAATGAAAGTGTATTACCTTTATCTTAATAAACTAGTACAAAATTTATCCATTTTGCTGCCTACAAGATGCATGCTGTTTTTCAGACAAATGATCCGCCTACTTTTCGTTTTGAGATTGTTAAGTTGTTAGTTATCCCTAATGGTGTTCACATTTGACCTTCATAGAGGTGACATTTTAAAGGAATATCAAATGATTGGATAGAAATAAACCATGCTGGTATTTCTGTTTCATTAACATCAGGAAATGTTTTGGAAAATGTTTTATTAAATGGATTGCAAAAATGTCTCTCTGCTTTTTTTATTA